TATAACACCCCACCCACCCATCCCCCCAGGGGACAAATAACAGAAACTGTGGAGGAAGGGAGACAGCGGTCAGTGTAAGATAGGAAAATAATACTTTATAATTTATCAAGGGGCCACGAGGGGGAGGGAGGGATGGGGAGGAGGAAGAGGAGCTGACATCAAGGGCTGAATAGAAAATAAATGTCTAGAAAATAATGATGGCAACATAGGTACATGTGGACTTGACACAATCGATGTATGGATTGTTCCAAGAGCTGTAAGAGCCCTCAACAAAATGTTTAACAAAAAAGACTATCCTTTTTACCAAAAAACCTTCACTGCCATCGAGTTGAGGTTGACTCACACGACCCTATTCTTAAAGATTTTTTAACCAATACCCACATTGTTTTCAATGTTAGTGTTCTTCTTTTTATAGATAGAAGAAATTAAAAACGGGAGAGTTGATGGAAATCTTCATACAAAGTGGAAGCAAAATTTGAAGGGTAAAATACTAACCTACTCTAAAGAGAAAACATTTAGGATGTTTGAATTTATAATAAATTCATTACCCAAAGTGGGTTCTTCTAACCTTTAAAAGGGGACGTAGACACACATGGTGTCTGAGCCGCTCAGATATACACTATTTTTGAACAGTATAAAGCGTTTCTCATACCTCTGCACTTGTATCACTCATAAGACCACTTTAGAAAATTCAAATTGCTCCATCCCAACAGAAGTGTTAACAGAAAATGAAAAAGAAAGCTGGCCTCAATTACCGTCACTCCAAAAATGAAGCTTTGTCCCAGAAAACAACTTTCAACTGCTTTAGATACAGGTTCTGAGCTGTGTCACTGTCCGATGTTTCCGGAGTTTCATTCAGATCTTCAATGTACCTGTGCAAACCAGTGGCAGTAAGACGGAAAAATGCATCTAAACAGCTTCCAAATACAAAAATGCGAAATACTCTGTTTGACTCTAACTTTTTTTTTTTTTTTTGGGAGGCAGAGCCATCCAGGTTTATTCTCCAGACAGACAGCATCAGCAGGTACAACTACAGGCTTCGCTGTAGCGCATACATTCACACAGCATTGTCCAGCTGCACAGCCTGGGGTGTGTTTCCTGTAACAACACCCCCCTCCCTCCGTGTAAACAGGTCCGATCACCTTGGTCACTTCGATTCCAGAAGGAAAGGCACAACTTGGCAACAACAACAAAAAAAACCAAAAGCAACACTTTTTTTTCTTTTTGGATCTTAAGAGGTCAGGTGCGAGAACTACAGGGACAAGAAGCTTTTTTGGTAACAAGTCTCCATGCAGTTTCAATTTCCGTGGCGAGCTCTACCCAGGAGTCTCCTCTTCCAGCCTCTTCGTACTAGGAGAGCCCCGCTTCAGCAATCCTTTATTATCGTTATTTTATTCCACGTACTAAAAGGAGGTTCAAAGGAACAAAAAGGCAACAGAAACACCCCGAAGGTCCACGCATCAACCCTCAGGTTTCACACAGGGTCTGGGGAAGGGGCCAACGGTCGATCCAAATAGGAAAATAGAGACTATGGCTACAAAAATAAAAGATACATGAGGTAGATAAATTAAAGCTTGCATAACCCAGGGCTTGCCTGCTCCAATTTTGCAGCTTTCATGCAAAACTCGGGTGAGGGGAAATCGTCACAAGTTGACATTGAGTCATCAAGGGAATTAAAAACAAAATCAAACACTTAGGTGAACCTGGACTAAGAGACCCAAGAATGAAATCCTGGCTCTTCAAGAGAACAGGCACTGGCGAGCTAAATTAAGTCCCCTGAGACCCTGTGCACAGGCGCCCCACCTGTCCTGGCAACCAGGTAGACAGAGGCCTCTGGAATGTGGAGGAGGGACACTGGAAGTCTCGGGGCTCCCCCTGAACTGAATTTAAATAAGCAGCTACACACCCAAACGCACGCCAGTTCCAGGGCCAAGAGCATCCGGCATATCTAGGAGTCTAAGGTGGAAGGAATTTTCTAGTTCTGCAACCTTAGCGTGTCAAGAAAAAGCAATAAATCAGCACATTCGAAAAAAAGAAAGAAAAAGAAGATGGGTGTGGGGTAGGAGACATAAAACAAACTGTTAGGAAGAGCCGCCAGACCTTGTCTCCTTATCTGCAGTGACAGGTAATGCAAGGACACCGCACGTGCCCACCTCCCCCAGTTTGAATCAAGCAGCTGCCTGTTCCCTGGCGGTTTGGGGAAGGTTCGATGGGTCCCACCTTGAGAGGGGGTCAGTGGAGACTCTTTGGAAACAGTTATTCTAGGTTGTACAAAGGATCTACATACAGAGTTTATCACACGTCACAAAGCTACTGTGGCAAGACCCGCTTCTTTCCAGACTTGGGGGGGGGGGAGAAACCCCACAGGAAGTGAGGTGGCTTCTTTAATTACAAAGAGGGAAAAAACAAGATTCTAGATTCCGCTCTGTCTACATCCTGGCCGTTACTGCCCGCTCTTCTCTTAGCTGACTGCAATCTTGTTTTCTTCCAGGAAGTGAGGGAACTGGTGTTTAGGGACACCGTCAGTAGTAGTGGGTTTCTGCACATCCGAACTCAGGTGTGCAGCCTGGGAGCCATCCACCTGGGAGGCGCCCGAGTTACTCCCACCGGAGCTGGCCCCCAGGGGCACGGGCACCGGAGGGATCCCTCCGCTCTGGATCACAGAGATCTCGTTGGTCTTCAGGGACAGCCCGCCGTTGAGCATGGCAGTGTACTGGCTCCACACCGCAGGGTCCACGTTCACCGCTGGCGCCCGGATCTCCTTGGGCAACACCTCGGAGGCTCTCTTCCCATCTGAGCCTAGCAGAGCCATGGTGTTCTCGATGGCCAGCTTCCTCCCTCGGCGGGCCGAGTTATTGTTCGCCCCGTGGGTCATGTAGTGAACCTTCAGGTTGCCCTGGGTGGTGAAGGCGCGCCCACAAATGTTGCACACGAAGGGCTTCTCTCCGGTGTGCGTGCGCTCGTGGATCTGAAGTGCGCTCGCCGAGGAGAAGTTCTTCCCGCAGCGCACGCAGCCGTGCTGCTTGGCCTGTCGCCGGGGCTGGGCGGCCAGCAAAGGGACCATGCCGGGGGACAGGACTGAGGAGCCTCCGGCGAAGGCTCCAGGGACCTCCACCTTGACATAGGCGGGCTGGTTCCGGACAAATGTGGGGAGGCTGCTCCGACACTTGTGTTTGTAGAGGGCGGCCTCCTCTTTAGCTTTGACATCCACTGCGGAGACGTTGGGGGGCTTCCCTTTCCCTTTCTTGGACGGGTCCAACACCATCGTGGAGAAAGGGCTCTGGAAGAGCACAGAGCCTGGAGCCTGAGGTAGCAGAGCGCCCGGGAGGCGGGACATGACGTTGGGGGGCACCCTCGTCCCATCGGGCTTCAGGGCGAAGGACGTGAGTCCCTGGGACACGGGGCTGGCCGTGGAAGGGAGGTTGGCATGAGGTAGCTTGGCTTGTTTCAAGGCATCCAGAGACAGAGCCTGGCCCCCAACTTTCTGGCTGAGCAGAGCCACGGCGGCCGACACCTGCTGGGACACGTGACTGCCCAAGGTCTTCAGGGCGTCAGCACCCGCCACCCCTGAGTGGAGGGCATGGGAAGCCCACATGTTCACCTGGATGCGGATCTGCTCCGTGAGCTGGATCTGCTGCAGCTGCTGCTGCTGCAGACACAGGATCTGCTCCAGGACCCAGGGGATGCTGTTGGCGCCGGGCAGGGGGGCGGGCAGGGCATCGGCGCTCCGCTGGTTCACCGCCACCTTGGTGCCCCGTAGTGCTTGTAAAGTCACGTTAGTGTTGGAGACTTTGCCTTTGGGGAGATAGCTGACATCCAGCGGCGTGGGCGGCAGGGCCGTCTCTGTCTTTAAGTACACCACCGACTCCGAGGTGGGCCTCTCTTTCGGGTCCCCTGAGCTGCCACTGCTCTCCACGGGACCGTCAGTACAGCTCGGACTTTGGGGCTGGTGGCTCAGCGTCGCTCCGGGGAAGTCTTCGGCAGGCAGCGCCCCCTCACTGTCATGCATGATGAGCACAGGCGGGTGCTTCGTGCAATTCCTCTTGTGGTCGATGAACTCGGAGAAGCTGAAGAACTCCGCGCAGCATTTCTTGCAGACGTGGGTGTCTTCGCGCCGAAGCCGCTTGCCCACCGGCTCTTTGCCCGTCACCACCTCGTCCTGGGGTGCTGGGTGGCTCATTACAGCACCCGGCTCCCCCGCCGTCGGCGCGTCTGGGGCCGCCGCCGCCAGCTCCGGGGTCGGCTGCTGCTCCTCCAGGTCCTCCTCCGAATTGATGTGTTGGGGTTTCGCCTGCTTGCGCCTCGACATGGTGCGAGCATCGGGACGCCGGGAGAGCCGCGGCGGTTTGCCCTCTCAGCCACAAATTCCTGGAGTTAGGAAATTTACCCCCCTTCGGCCGGAACGCGCATGTCCCAGTAATTATTATTATCAATAATGCATTGCGATTTATCATGAGCCCTGACAGCTGATTGGCCTGGGTCCAAGACCTCGGAGATCATTTAAATAAGTCCTCATTGATCCTGACTCTAACTTTTAAGGAAAGTTCCTATCTATAATGAGTATTTTCAGCTTCCCCAGTAGAGCCACATTTTGGACAATTAGATCTTTTGGAGACCACGATGATCCGAGAGAGGCCCTTTGGACATGATGGATACATAAACTTGAATTCTGGAGGGCAAGTACGGAGGCAAGAAGACATTTTCTTTTCCTGTGCGCGTGTTCACACTCTGTCCTGGGGCAGGGGAATGGGATTCGGCAGAGGAGACGTTCATGTCTGCGCTGGGCACAAGTCAGCTGTACATGGCTGGTCGTCAGATGCCGACAATTACTTTCCATGGAGCCCTTGGAAACAGCTCCTCTTTGTCCCCCCTGCCTCGTGACCCCTTGATAGATTATAAATTATTATTTTCATCTTGATAACCCTTTGAACCCTCAGAAGCAATGGAACGCAGAGTCTTGCTTCCTTTGAAACAACAGGTGAAAAACCCCAAAAACTACTCACAGCAGCAAGAAGCCAACATACATGAATTTTTCAGCAAAATTTCCCAACACCATGTCTTAGTTTCCTAATGGTGCCGTAACAAATAACCACATGTAGGCGGGTTAAAGAACAGACATATATTGGAGGCAGAACTGGGTCGTCCCAGGGAATGTCGCTCTTGACCAGTAACCACAAAGCTCCTCAGCGTTCCTTGGCCTGAAGATGCTTCCTCCCCTGGTCTCTTCTCGAGGTATGTTGTGTGTCAATTTTTGCTTTCCAGTTTTAGAAGGAGCCCTGGTGGTGTACGGTTACGAGCTGGGCTGCTAACTGCAAGGTCAGCAGTTCAAAACCACCAGCCACTCCAAGGGAGAAATACTGAGCTTTCTACTCCTGTAAAGATTTCCAGTCTCAGAAACCCACAGGGGCAGTTCTACCTGTCCAAGAGGGTCATTATGAGTCAGCAGCCACTTGGTAGCAGGGAATTTGGTTTTAGGTTTTGTAAAAATCATTTTATTAGGGACTCGTACAACTCTTATCACAATCCATGCATCCATCCATTGTGTCAAGCACATTTGTGCGTTTGTTCCCATCATCATTTTCAAAATATTTTCTTTCTACTTGAGCCTTTGATATCAGCTTCTCATTTCCCCTTCCCTCCCCCAGCCTCCCTCATGAATCCTTGATCATTTATAAATTTATTTTTTTTCATGTCTTACACTGACCGATGTTTCCCTTCACCTACTTTTCTGTTGTCCATCTCCCTGGGAGGGGGTTATATGTAGATCATTGTGATCAGTTCCCTCTTTCTCCCCCCACCTTCCCCTTAAGCTTATGCACCCAGTTTTTGTTTTTTTATACGACATTTTTTAGAAGGGATTATGTTTAGAACCCATCGGACTCCTGTATGGCCCCATTAACATAACGAAGGAGTGCCTTATTTCCAAACAGGGTCATATTTACAGGTACCAAACCCTACCCAACCAGCCACCCTGCAGTGGAGTCTGTCTTGTGGTGACCCCGTGTGTGTGAGAGGAGAACTGCTATCCATAGAGTTTTCCGTGGCTGCGTTTTCAAAACTAGATCACCAGACCTGTCTTTCAAGGCTCCCCTGGGAGGACACCAGTCTCCAGCCTTGGAGTTAGCAGTCACATGCATTGACTGTTTGCACCACCAAGGAACTCCATTTGCAGGTACGGGGTACAGTACTTCCATATGTTTGGGGGGGGGGACAATCCAATCCATAAGACAACATCCCTGTGGACAGTACTGACAATTCTACACTTCCGTATATGAAGCCTGTCCATTGACCACAGGCTGTTAAGAGAATTCTCTGTACATCTACCTGAAGGCACGTTGACTAATGAGGAGAGAGAAACGGTGACCACGAGCGAGATCTGTTGCAACACCTGAGAGCAGAGCTACATTCTTGACTCTTCTCTGTCACAAAGAATATATCATTTAAAAAAAAATCATTTTATTGGGGGCTCGTACAAATCTTATCACAATCCATCCATCCATCCATTGTGTCAAGCACATTTGTACATTTGTTGCCAACATCATTCTCAAAACATTTGCTTTCTACTTGAGCTCTTAATATCAGCTCCTCATTTTTGAATATATCATTTTTAAGGAGCTAGTAAACATCGTTGGATTAGGATGATGATAGAGGTGCTATCTTTATTTTCTAAAGGAAACAAGTGCATTTCAAAGAATAAGCATAGGTAACAGCTAACAGTAACAGTAATTTAAAAATCTATAGCTTCATGAATTTTATTTTGAACAGTATTATTGTAAATTGTGATGAAAATGTTACTGCAAATAAGAAACAATTATACTAATGTATAATCACTAATAAATCTTATTAATGAAAGTAGTTCAAGGTCTTAGATACTTGTTATAAAGCATAATTATTGTGATTCATCAGATTAATTATACAAGATGTTAGATTCTTTTAGAATTGAGAAATAAGAACAATTGTATAAGAAAGACTACTTTAAGGTTTGACACTCCCAGATCTATTTTCAAATATACCACTATTATGCCTCATGGAAATTGTGTTACTTTAGTTAGATTAAGAAATTTTAGAAGAAGTAACATATTAGCTTGCTAATAGATTAATACAATTATATCTTCTTCAGCTAATTCTGCCCATTATCTTCTAACAGCCAGGAGAGCAGCACTTACTTTGTAATGACCCTAATCACATATTGAAGCCAAGGAGTTGCTAAGGCCCTTCTCCTTGGGATGAAAAGTTGAAGTGCAGCAAAGTTAAGAAACTTGTCCAAGGTCACACAGCTACTAAGCAGTGAAGCTGGGCTTGAGTACAGGAATGATAGCTCTGATTAGTTCCCTTTCCCATGTTTATTAAAACAACACAGGCTCATTGACTACAGGAAGCCAAGGAAAGAAGTCTCATCATGAAAACCATTAGTGCCCTTATCTCCTTTCCGCTAAGCCTGCATTTCAGAAGCACCGACTTTACAGTTTTTAAATTGCTGACAATATCCTTCTTCTGAATGTATAGCTTTATTAATTTTAACACAAGTACATATTATGTAGCCATCCTCATAGAACTGTTCCAGCACCCCAAAGTCCTGAGGGCTCTCCACTTATATGCTGACCCGCACTCTAGCCCCCCCACCGCTTTCCCCCCCAAACCAGTGATCCCTTGCACATCGCTACTCAAGGAGTTTGGATCTTCAACATACAAGTGGGATTTGTGCACACAAATAGAATCAGACACTGTGTATACTTTTGAGATTGGCTCTCTTCAATCAGCAGAATGCCTTCAAGATTCATTCAAGTGGTTGCATGTATCAATACTTCATTTCTTTATATTGCTGAATAGCACTTGATATCTTCACGTATGTCTTGGTTTTTAAATTGTAGGTGTGTAGTAGTATCTCATTGTCGTTATTTTGCATTTCCCTACAATGATTAATATTGTTGAATACCTTTTCACCTACTTATTTGTCACCCACATATCTGCTTTGGTAAACCTTTTTATTATTAATATCATTATTATATGACTTACAAATATTTTCTCCTGTCTACGCCTTATTTTTAATTTTTTAGTTTAATTTTATGGATTGACCACAGTTTGTTTATCTAACCCCCAGGCCCAGGGGATGGACCTTTGGATTAAATCATGGTCCCCCCTGAGTCCCGTGCCTTCTTTTCAGAACAAAATTTACTCAGGGCCCCCCTGGCAATGAAAAACTTTTGAACACCATGTCCTGATGAGGGGAGAATGAGCAAGCAGTTCACCTCATCAGTGTCAAATACCTGAACCCCAATCTTCTCTGTCACTTCATACTTGGTAACTACAGGTTAAGCTACTCCCTTGTTTTGTGCCTCTTTCATTCTCTGAAAACTGGATTATCATGACCCCCTAAAAAAAAAAAAGAAAAGAAAAACTTTTGAACTATAGCCTATAATACAGGACAAAGCATAGATACCTGCTTTTGCAGCTCCCTGGAATTGTTTCAGCATCCCAAGGGAGTGCTATCCCCCATTTTGGGAAACAGTGGGTTAGATGAACAACTTTTGACTATTTGAAATCAAGCCACTATAATGATTTATGTGAACATAAGTTTTCCTTTGCTTGCTGAATGTGGGGAGGACTGGAAGCACTTGCTGATGGAGATCAAGGATTGTAACCTTCAGTGTGGATTATTACTCAATGTCAATACGACCAAAATCCTTATAACTGGTCCAATAAATAGCGTCGTGATAAATGGAGAAAAGGTTAAAGTTGCCAAGGATTTTTGTTTTGCTTGGATCCACAATCAATGTTCATGGAAGCAGCAGTCAAGGGATCAAAAGACATGTTATTAGGTGAATCTTCTGCCTAGGACCTCGTTAGAGTACTGAGAAACAAGGAGGTTACTTTGAGGACTAAGGTGCGCCTGACCCAAGCCAAGGTATTTTCAATTGCCTCACATGCATGTGAAAGTTGGACATTGAATTAGGAAGACCAAATAAGAATCAATGCATTTGAATTGTGGTGCTGGAGAAGAATATTGAAAGTCCCATGGACTGCTGAAAGAACAAACCAATCTGTCTTGGAAGAAGGATGACCAAGTGCTCCTTAGAGGCAAGGATGGTGAGACTTTGTCTTACATACTTTGGCATGTTGTCAGGAGAGACCAGTCCCTGGAGAAGGACATCATGCTTGGTAAAGTAGCGGGGTGTCAAAAAGGAGGAAAGTCGTCAAGGAGTTGGATGGACGCAGTGGCTGCATAAATGGGCTCAAGCGTAGGAAACATTGTGAGGATGTCGCAGGACCAGTCAGTCCTTTCTTCTATTGTGCATAAGGTCACTCTGGGTTGGAATCAATTCAATGGCACCTAACAACAGCAAGTTGTCTTGTGTATATGACTGCTGGTAAGCATATC